AATTAAGTAGGAGTTTCTCCAGTTTTGAAAATCAAACGAGAGAACAGAGAAGAGAGAGAAGAAACACGGGGGAGAAGGGATGAAACGAAGACTTTTCGAGACGATCGCTTTGCACGACGTGAAAGGTCGGTCGAAATGGAATTAAAAATTTCTGCACGAGAGCAGGGACGAGGGATAGGGTTTACAACGTTTGCAACGTTTGCAACGCTGAGTTTCAATTTGCCCCGGCTTGAAATATAAAATTTGATTACTCCGCTCTGGCGAAACCGTGTTTAAAGATGAACGCGCAGCTATATTTGTTTATTGGCGCGGCGCGAAGCCGACACAGAGGACCCTGTGCGGTTTCAATTATTACGCGGCATTACGCAATGTTTGCGCGCCAGGGTGCCAATTCGCGATCGGCCGCTTTATATTTAACACCTGCTGGCCTCACCAAGGCACCGAGTCCACCCTCGAAATCGATCAAAACCGGCTCGAAACCCGCCACCCCCTTTTATTCGAGCGCGCAGCCAGTTTTACTTAATCGATTACTCTCGCCGCCGGTACACGCGACAATTTTCCATCCGGTCCTTGTTTACACCGATCAGATTTACCGGGAAATTTTTATCGGTAAATATGATCTCGTTCGGCAAGTATTGCAATTTCTCGTGAAAATGGGGGAAAACCTCGAAATATGATATTTAGTTGTTATTATTAATTATAAATTGGTACTTGAAAATTGTTATTCAAACTTTCAAAATTTCTTCGCCCCGTGAGAAAAATTACTTTCAATTAGTATTACGAATTAGCGAAAACGCGTATTATTCCGATAGTTTTAGAAAGAAGATGTGTAACGAAGTAAAATTTCATATCGTTGCACATAAGGGAGCAGCCTGACATTTACGTACACGGCTGTTTTTAATTTTAAAAGTCGCTGGTGACCACGAAGAATGTTACGTGAAATACGTGCACGGTTGGCACGTCTGTCCTTCTAACAGCGATTCGAAACAAATCAAACAGTGTCAAAAGCGTTGCTCGTAAATCGAAAACGGTCCACCCATCCGGAACAAATTTCGGAAAACAATTTCCACCGGTGCTTTTTCACCGGCGCGTTCAATCTGGTCACTTTCCATTTCGCAGATTAAAGATCATCCCCGCAGACTGACCGCGAGGATCTCGAATTCAAAAAAAAAAACCTACTTCGGGATTTCTGTGCCAAGGGATCGAAATCCGGCTATTTTCGATCCAAAGATTAGGAATCAAGAGCCATCGTACGTTTCACGTGGCCGAGTCTCTTTGCTTCTGCCCGCTCTTTTCCAACTTTCGGGATTCTCGTTTTCCACGGCGGAGAGAACGTGTTTTTCGGGAGAACGGTTGTCGTTCAAATCGCAAGCATGGCATCGACATTATCGACAGACATTGTAGACTATCAGAGTCATCGAAATTATAGGTTCTCAACTTTTCATAGGACTACAATTCCCGCAGAACTTTTCGAACGACTTGGTTGTCCGTGAAACGTACGAATAAAAGCTTTCGATTGTTTCAATCCCTTTGACGTTTTAAGTTTGATTGTCAATTTTTCATCAGAGATACCGTTCTCGCGCAGCTTTCGTTTCCATCCTTTCTTTTTTTTTTTTTTTTTCGCCGCGAGTTTCATATTTTTGTCGTGCCGCGGACCAACGATTTTCCAACGAAAATTCGTGAAAAAAAAAAGAACAGCCGCTAGAACGAAACGTTTTCCCGCATAACATTTATCCGCGGCACGCGAAATTCGAAACTAATTTACGAATTAGCCGCAGTCCCTTTACAGCCCCGCGTGCATGCGGCGCGTGTGTCACGCGTGCACGCATCTACGTGACACGCAACGCGCTACAACGATAAATCAATAAAGCGTACGTACGTGTGTACGTGGTACGTAGCGTATGCCTGGCTTTCTCCTCGCGTTGCCTCTGTCCCTCCCCGAACAAGCTCGACGTGTTACAACGACAAACTGGGGCAAAGTGTCGAGGGAGTAGACGAACGAGAGGGTTCCTCGAGTGTACAGAACCAATAAGAGACGTGCTGATAAGATTGCGACGTTCGCGGGACGGATTATTAGCATAGCCGAGATCGATAGAGCGTGTACACGCGAGTACACACACTGTGTGTACGTTTCATTCTTTTTCAGCCGTTCTCGATAGACCGGTCGTGCATCAAACTATCGTAGAAGGGTTGACGTACCTCGATGATTATCAGGATTCGGTCAATAGAAGGTGCAAACGGTTGACTATCGAGCGGAAAGCGAGCAAGACTTCAGTGGAAATTGATTTAGCGCCGAAATTAAGAGAAATATCAAACCACGGAGTAACCGGAATAAGGATGCGTTTTCATCGCGATATTTGTTTTCTCGATTCGATATTTGTCCTCTCGCCGCGAACAATCCTCTACGTGTTAATCCCTACGATCGTAAACCGGTGGCAGAGTATCACAGCACTTTGTAACTCGAAGTCCTGCGCACATTGAACGATCGACTGGATCCTTGGGAATTTATCGCGCGCGAAATAAAGGCGAGCGAGTGACGCTCTAGCGAGATATTATGTTCTTGAAACGGCGCGCGTAAACGGAAGCCGTAAACGGAGAGATGGTATACACGTAACCGAGTGGAATTTACGTTCGAAACCGCGAGCAACCACGGATACGCGGATACGGCCCGGATACAATATTTCAGACGATCGAGCGTCGATACAGGACTCCCCGTTGCTTTTTCTCCCCGACTCTACCCCCGCCCTCTCTCGAGCGAGATTCGTTTCATCATCGTCGACGTTCTTTTTTTTCGTTTCGTCCGTCTCTTTTTCACGATCTATTGATCTCGCGCCAGCTCGATCCGATCGGCGGGGGAATCGTCGAGCGGGCGCGGAGAAACGCGAAGCAATTTCGAGAGCTCGTGCCTTTTTCTTTTCTGCTTCTCTCCCCGCTGCTGCACCGATACTCCTTGCTCTATTCGATCTCGCGTAACAGAGAATCCCTCGTGTGAACCACCTCGTCGTGTTTCCCTTCGAAACAGCCGGAGACCGATCGGGGATAATCGAAGCGGCAGAGGATCGAGATAATATATAACACGCAGCAATAGGAAGGGACAAATGAAAAAAAAAGAAAAAAAAAATCGTCGAACGTTTCTCATCGTTGTTAGCTTCAGACTTTTAATTAGAAATCGATATTTAAGGTGTACGCGAAGTTCAAACAGCGAGACTCGATGTGATGTTTTTGCTGTAAATCGAGTCGCTCGTAAGATAATAGGACTAAGCTTCGATTCTCGGACGAGAAGCTGAGTAATTAAGGCGAAGCTAATTGTAAGTCGAGAGCGAAGAGAGAGAGAGAGAAAAGAAGAAGGAAATACCGTGAATCCGTAAAATGCAACGTACTAAGTAAATTACGAC